ACTTTTCTGACCCGGCAAGGGGAGTTGGGCTTGGCCCTCCATGAGATGCACAGGATTTCTGGTTTGCCCATGGGTCAGATGCTATATCAGGAGTACTTTCCCTCTAACCATGAGTTGAGTCAGCTGAAGGACCGCATGCCCGACCGCTATGAGGCTTTATGGGATCTTACATGTCACTACCATATTGCTTTGGCGCAGTCTGAGCCTTTAGCGAAGAGGACTAAGTCACATGTGATCCTGAAGCAGTTTGCATGTTATCTGTTCAGGAATTTAGAGAGCCATTCTGGCGAGGTCCGAAAAGTATACGAGTATAAGGACACAGAAAATACTCCAATAAGGTATATGAGTATAAACTATTCCCTATTTTTGGTTGGGAAGTTCCTGGAGAATATATTTTATAAATATTCTTAAGGATAACTCAACAACACTATGTATGCTCAGATCCTTTCCAAGCCCGCCCCTCCACATCCGAGAGATTCTCTGCTCAGACCCTCTTTTTTATCTCTGGCTATGCAGGGAAAGCTAGAATGGGTCAGCACAGGATGAAGAGAAAAACTTCTCCCTCCACCCCTTATTCATCTCGGGAATGGTTGGAACAAGTCAGCAACTGCCGATTGTATGCAAGTAAAAATAGTTCAAAATTCCGACAACGGTCAGATAATAAATGTAGCATCGGAACTCTTACAGACATTCGACAAAGCACCGAATAGCCTGGAAGATTGAAGGAATCAAGAACAGAAGCCATTCCAAAGTCCCGTTATACCGACTGAAGGTTGGGACAATCATATCCAAAGTATTCCAGACTCTTCTATAAAAGAACGAGGCTGAAATACTTATAGGTCCCTTAGCATAGCTCGGCACAAACCGACGAACCGACGAGGCGACGAGGTTGACGAATCGCACGTAAGCAACGGAATACATCCATTCACGTGTGGAATCAAGCCAAGGGTTCGAAGAATCAACGAGTCATCCAAACAAGAGCGGACTCGGATGAATCACGACCGAATCAAGATCAGTTTCGGACTCGAACTCAGAAGTGGATTTACTGCCAAAACAGGAATCGGACTTACTGCCAAATCAGAGTCTAAGTCAACCGAAAAACGGATACAACGGATACAACGGACAAAACGACGAAACAGAAACGCCTAAGGGGGGCTTGGCCAAAGCCGAGCCACCCATAGGTGGCTCGGCCAAGACCGAGCCACCCATGGGTGGCTCGGCCAAAGCTGAGCCACCCATGGGTGGGATCTACACGAAACTACACTCCGGATCAAAGCTTGGCCTTTGATCCCGAGATTTGGACGATTATTTCCTTGGTGAACTAATCCTCCCCGGCTATTATTCCCTTTGCGGAATAATACCCGTCAAATCGTGTAGATCCGACCGGATCTAGATCGTGCGGTGGTCCACGGATTAACCCCAGCGTCGGCAAAGAACCCACACAAGCAAGAGACCGCAAAACAGGATCTTGCGATTCGTTCGACAAATAAGGAGAAAGTTATAATTTTTTATTTCTTGTGTTATTTGATTTTCGTTGTAACCGGATCTAAAAAAGACCGGATCTTTGTAATCGATAAACTATTACAAGAATTTGCAATGGAATCAATGATGAAGAAAGCAATGATTTTCACCGCGAACAATAGACAGACCATTCCCTTGACTGAGCTGCCAGTATGATAGTGCTAGGGATTTCATGGTCTTGGGCATACTTCTCCAAGCAGCTGTCACGTCCCGCTTCCCAAAATACCAGAGAATCGAAAAGTGAACAAGCCAATGACGTATTAGATTGAGGAGAATAAATAAAATTAAACATTTCTTCTCAACCTAATACGCTAAGCGTCAAAAAATAATACAATATGAAGTCATATGTCCCTGATCATAATTAGCAAGAATATAATAAACAACTCAGAATAAATAAATATCATATCATAAATGGAATAACATCCGAGACATAAAGTTTGGGTCAAACATGCCCTTATTACAAAATAGTCCAACAAAATGCTGAAGAGATACAAAGATACATCATCAACGGAAATAGAAAGAACTACAAAAGTAAACTAGGACCATCAACTTATAAAAGAAAAACTAGGCTTCGACTTCTTATTCTGCTCTGTCTACAAAGCACTCCTGGTGAGGATACTCGGGCTCTGGCGTATCTCCAAGTTGGATCTGTCCTTTCTCTAAGTCTAACGTACACCAGAGAAAACATGTGTACGTCAGCGTGTATGGCACACGGTAAGACCCCACAAAAGAAAATAGAACGGTCAAATGACCAATGCAATAACCGATGCAACAACAAAAATGATAAAAAATACGTGTAACTGGAAATCTAACAAAATCAAAATGCGATCCACTACTAAATCATGATAATCATAAGGCCAACAGTATACAATAACAGGGTCGAGTACTAGCCATCCTAAAAAAACTCACTGGTCCACATCTCAAATAGGTCAAGGTTCACATTTTCGGATAACTGACTGTTCACAATCCTCTACGCGCATCTAATACCGTGAAATGATTCGGTAAGAGGACTATACGCAATCTGATTTCATCCTAGTCAAAACTTAAGCAAAATTCAGGTGACGAAATGATTTCACTGACTACGTGCGGAACGATTCACGGGCCCAACAGACTAACCCCAGTGCGAAACGATTCACTGGTGCGAGCCTGGAAGATAATCAACAACCACATCCGATCATGCGAACTAAGACTTTCCCACTCGAACATCTCTTGTGTTTCTAGGTCTATACAGATCACTGGTTCATCCCTTAAGTTGGTCAACACACCCACACATGTCACTAAGTCCTATTCATGACGCACAATGCCACTAAGTCATGAACTACTAATGGTTCTCAAACACAATATGGAACAATAAATACAGCTAATTCTATGCAAATAAAACATAGTATGTCACGTAACTAAAATAAGAATCATGGAATCGACAGATGATTTACACATAAAATATCGTGATCAACAACCATCACTTACATGACCATAAACTAAATTAATTCAAAATATCTTTTTTGCAAAATGAATTCCTTTTAAATTATCTCTCACCATAATTATTCTAAAAATAATCTCTTAAAATATTCTTTTTGATTATTTCTTTTCTATATGCACATTAACCTTTCCTATTTTTGAAATTATTTCTTTTTATTTAATATCATTCATCAAACAATCCCACGTAGAATATCAAATGAAATACAGTCTAATCTATGCATATATTTAATTAATTCATAACCGATCAAAAATTATAGTGAATAACAATTGGGAAAACAGGATCTTGCACATAATTAATTTACAACAACACAATAATTGACACGAAACTAAACGAGAATCAGGAATAGGGATCTTACCTCGGGAATATTGTCGAACGAATCAACGTTGACGTGCGAGTCCGCGACGAGCGTCAGTGTTGGGGTGCTGGCGTGGACGGTCGGCGTGCGGATCTCAGCCGAGAGGGTCGGATGTGGGGCTGCCGGAGGAGATTGCGGGGCATGGGATGAGAGGCGGCCTCGCACATTTGCGCTGGTTGCGGCTGCTGGGTTCTGTCAGGGCGGGTGAAGGGTGGTGAGGGGTTTCGGTCTGCTTTGAGGCTGGCGGAGGAGGAGTAGGGTGGCGTCGCACGATGAATTGAACGGCCTTGAGACGATGTGGGGCGACGGGGTGGTGGATGGGGCGGATGAAAAAAAGAAGTCACAGTTGATGAAAGATATGGTATCAAAAAAGACATGTAACACGGCTTCCCCAAATGTGAGGAGCTTATGGGTTCTCCACAGTTGTTATCCTTTGATCATGCTCACCGGCGTCTCTCCGAACTTCTAATTTTTAGATTCTAGCCTTGGATGTGCGCACGAGGTGGCATCCATAGATCCTGAGGATACTAGATGACAAGGAATCACTCGACAAGCTCTATCCAGGTTTCCTAAATTCCTATGCAATGGATTGCAGGATGACAGTTCTCCTCGATACAGTGATCCAAGAAGATGCGAGGAATTTTGAGAACAGATCATTTTATACGTGATACCACGGGATGGGTCTCCTGCTCTCCAAAGTGGATAACGACGTCTTTTGCTTTTCACAAGTGAGTAACTTCGGCAGTATATACCAGCTAGGCATTCGTGTTCGAAACTGCGACTCAAGGCAAAAAAGTGGAACACTCATTTCGAGAGGCAAGGAAATGCTACCAGAATGTTTGACTACTGGATTGCAGAAACTTTTCCTAATATGGAGACACTAGTTCAAATATAAATCAATTGCTCCCATACGCATGATTCTGCCTTCTTCCTATCATCTCGTGTGCTCGCAGATTTTTTCAGAGTTTTTCGCGAAAAGCAAGTAATAATCCTCCTTTTTGGTACAGTAGGGCAACGGACAGCCATTAAGCCTGAGCATGCAAAAGGCAAGGATTAGCTGGCATATTTGCACTTAGCGTTATACCAATGCTGTCCATTTTATAGTTGCATAGAACGGGGGAAGGCGCCACGCGGCTATTAATGTTTCTGAAGGCAGAAACTATCAGTTTACATGAAAATTGTCCCATGCTTCAACTCCAAGATCTTAGTACTGAAGCAAGAATTGAATAGCTTACCCTTGACCTCGATGGGTGGCCAGCTTTTACACAAAATTCCCATTGGAACGCGGGAAACAGGCAGATGGTGGATTTGGGATCTGCCTTGCTTCTAGACAGTAGGTATGAGACCGGTTTGAAGGCATTGGAAACTTAATGGCATATCCAAAGTCATTTGTTTTGGCCGATTTTTTCGTATCTTGTCGGGGTGATCCTGAGAGAGGGTTGCGACTAAATTTTCGTAAACTGGACAGGAAAGAGTATTTTTCAGTTGCTGCCAGGAAGAGATGTAAGCTGGCATGCCCTGAGGATGGTTATCCAATGGACATGGGTAAGTTGGATATTCGTTTATGTACAGTTTTGTTTAAGGAAAATGTACTTTTCTATGATTTCTAAGGTGTATTGCTAAAAGATGCCACTATCCCGATAAGTTGACTCTAATATTGCAGCGAATTATGTAATTTTGACCTGTTAGTATATAAGTAGGTGACATACTGCGATTGTACCGTTCATGATCATGACGGTAAATCATTTATGTTCTTCCACAATGATTTGTTCAGTATAGCGTTAGATGCAAATTAGATTATAATATCGTGAATTGACCTCCTCTAAACTTGCATTCTAGATCCAATGAATACCACTCGGAAGTTAATAAGTCTCATCCTTACCTCCTCGCCATGGAGTAGCTGTTTGCACATGATGGGGCCCTCTTTTATCTGTTGGATTGTGGAGCACGTGAGGGGCCACAACGTTGAAAAGCAAGTGAAAAGTTTTTCTTGTGGGGGCCACGAGACTGGGAGGGCCACGAAGAAAAGCAGGAGAGTTTTTGAATTTCGTAAGGCCTACCCGATTGCCTTTTTGCCAGCTATATATAGATGATAATCTATCATCTAGAGTTTTTTGTGCAAGGTTAGGTGGCTGTGCAAGGGAGCACGTGTGAAGCTAGAGGGGAGAAAAAGAAGCAGCGGCTGATTTTGTGAGAAAGGACAGAGGGTCAATCAAGGAGTTGCGGCTTCGTGTGAAAAATTAGCGGCGGCTGCAGAGGGCTTTGTGCGGAAGAAAAACACAGCAGTCCTTTGAGGTTTTAGCATCCCCTTTTGTGAGAGGTTTGAGAGATTGTGTGAGGGTTTAGATTATGAATGTAAACCCTATTTGTATTCTCCCTCTCTAATAGTAGATCTCCCCCCTCCTTGCCCCGTGGACGTAGGCAATTTGCCGAACCACGTAAAATTGGTTGTCTCATTATTGGTGTGATTTGTAATAGCTTGTTTAGGATCCCTCGACAGGTCAATCCTAGAACTGATGGGAGGAAGAGCTGATATCTCACTTTGTTGAGATATTTTACTTTCGGTTCTTGTTTCCTTTGTGAAACAGGATTTTCGTTGTGATCTAATCTCTTGTTGTGCACCTTACGCACTGGAGGTGCTGTCGAAATTTTCGCTACGCATAACAAGTGGTATTAGAGCTCCCGGTTGGACTTGGGAGCTTGTTCGAATGATTCACTGTTGAATTCTTATTTGAAGAGTTAGATCTACAACATGGGTGAAACAAGCACATCGGGATCGTCTCTTACGAATACGATACATAGTTTGAGCATCAATAACATGAAGATCGATGTTCCGAAGTTCGACGGCAAGATCAATTTCGGTTTGTGGAGGTGTCAGGTGATGGATGCGTTGGACGCTCAAAACTTGGAGGAAACTCTTGAGTTACAAGAGAAACCTGCTGATATGAAAGAAAAGGTTTGGAAGAAGATGAATAGTAGGGCGTGTGGAGTTATTCGGTCATGCTTGACGCTGGATCTTATTTATGATGTGATGAACGAGACGTCGGCGAAGAATATGTGGGAAACACTCAATGAAAAGTATCTTACTAAGAGCATTGAGAATCGGCTTCACTTGAAGAAGATGTTTTACCAGTTCAAGATGAAGAGGGGAGTTTCCATCAGGGAGCATGTTAATAACTTCACGAAGCTACTTTTTACCAGTTCAAGATGAAGAGGGGAGTTTCCATCAGGGAGCATGTTAATAACTTCACGAAGCTACTTTTAGACATGGCTAATGTGGATATCATGGTTGAGGATGAAGACAAGGTGATGTTACTTTTGTGTTCGTTGCCTGAGGATGATTATGGTACCTTTGTTCTCACTATGATTAATGGAAGAACTACTGTTAGCTACAAGGAGGTGACCTCAGCGTTGGTGAATTATGAGTTGAGGAAGAGTGTTGATGAGTCCTTCGAGAAGGCATCGGGAGATGAATTAGTAGTTCAAGGCCGTGGTTCAAACCGATGCAGGAGGTCGCAATCTAAAGGTACACATCGTGGGATTCGTAGGAATCAGTGTGCTTTTTGTAAAGAGGATGGACATTGGAAAGCTGAATGCCCAAAGTTAGATCGAGCTGAGAAGAATAAGGGGAAAGTTGTACAAGCTTCAGAGGTAAATGTTGTCAAGACTAGTGGCAACAATTCGGATTCGGATTCTTTAGGCTATTCGTTATCCGCACTACCATCAGTTTGTGATGCCGACTCTACGGAGTGGATGTTGGATTCGGGTGCTTCTTACCACGTTTGCTCTATGAGGGATTGGTTTTCCAGCTTTCAGAAGTTGGAAAGAGAGGATGTTGTGCTCATGGGTAATGGACATGCATGCTCTATTGATGGTATTGGTATCGTTCGGATTAAGATGAGTAACAGAATGATTCGGGAGTTGGATGAAGTGAGGTTCATTCCACAATTGAAGATGAACATCATTTCACTTGGAGCTTTGGAGGCAGCAGGCTATAGGGTGACCTTGGTGGATGCACGTTTGAATGTCACATTGGGGTCCATGATTGTGGTGAAGGGCGTCAGAAGGAAAAATTTGTATTATTTGCTCGGAAGCACGGCGATTGATAGGGAGCTGACGACTTCATCAGATTCGGCTAGACTGTGGCGTTGTTTGATGCTGTGTTATTTGATTGGTAATGTCGTGCATAGATTGTTAAGGAGTGCTTTGACCTGCAGTTTGAAGTCCTGTGAACCCATTGGTATGAGCAAGAAGACCGAGGTGGAGTTTGACACTTCTATCCATCATTCGAGGGGTCTTCTGAGGGGTGTTCATTCAGGCATTCGGGGGCCTTCCAAGGGAGCATCATTGGGAGGTAATATGTATGTAGTTTCCGTAGTTGGGGATTGTTCTAGGCATTGGTGGGTTGCAACCAAGTCCCGTTAGTGTGAAGTCCTAGAAGCCCATAACAGATGTAGGAAGTGTGTTGGAAAAAAGGTAACTCGACGTTCTGATTATGGTAGGGGTTCTTTCTGCGTTTGTACCGAGCTCACGGCAATAGAAAACACTTCATTAGTGTGGAAACTTTAAGGCGACGTGATGAGATAGCAGATTTGGGGAGCTGTTCCTTTCTGGAGGAGGATTGGTGTTTGATGTCGAGCATTAGCATCGGTGTGTGGGCTACAACATGTTTGGGCCATCTTATGCATAGGTTGTCGACTGCTGCATGTAGAGATTTTAGATCTGGTGGAGCTGCTTTAGATTTTGGGTTGCGTCGAATGTTTGGCTACCCAGCACTTGGTCACATCGTGGATGTGAAATTTGATCCGATAGCACATTTGGGAGTCAGAGGCGTGTTTGATAATCAAGTATTGGCTTCTGACTTTGTTCTGAGCAGATATGTCACGTTTGACTCTCGGCAGGTGGAGAGTGGTGATCAGATCTTTAGGATATCGCAGCGGGTGGAGAGTGATGCTACTCCACTTTGGGTGGAGACTCCAGATCATACTGTATTATTTGGGATTCCAGTTGATGTGACACAGATTGGGAATCATGTTGTTTCGGATGCAGATGATAGTTTGATCGTTTTGAGTGCAGCTGATAGATGCAGTTTGGATATGGTCATTGGTTCCCCTCATGTGGAGGTGTTTGAGGCCATTGGAGGTGTTATCAGCCGCAGAGTTGATGATATTGGAGAAGGGTTGCGAACTCTTCTAGTGGATTGAGGCATTTGGAGGCCATTGGGTGAACTACGTGAGACTTGATTCCTTGGACAAGAGGATATATAGGCAGTTATTTATGATGCAGCCGATTTGGTGAGTGGATACCGACATTTGTAGAGTGTTTGCATTCTCATTTGGGTCTCGACTTGTTGTGGATTGAGTCCGTTGTCGTGAATTGTTTTACTTCGTACTGGACGCAACAAGTGAGACATTTGTTTTGGTTGGTGTCGACTCAGTTTTGTAAAAAAAAACTTTGCCGAGGTGGAGAATTGTTGGATTGTGGAGCACGTGAGGGGCCACAACGTTGAAAAGCAAGTGGAAAGTTTTTCTTGTGGGGGCCACGAGACTGGGAGGTCCACGAAGGAAAGCAGGAGAGTTTGTGAATTTCGTAAGGCCCATCCGATTGCCTTTTTGCCAGCTATATATAGATGATAATCTGTCATCTAAGGTTTTTTGTGCAAGGTTAGGTGGCTGTGCAAGGGAGCACGTGTGAAGCTAGAGGGGAGAAAAAGAAGCAGCGGCTGATTTTGTGAGCAAGGACAGAGGGTCAATCAAGGAGTTGCGGCTTCGTGTGAAAAATTAGCGGCGGCTGCAGAGGGCTTTGTGCGGAAGAAAAACACAGCAGTCCTTTTAGGTTTTAGCATCCCCTTTTGTGAGAGGTTTGAGAGATTGTGTGAGGGTTTAGATTGTGATTGTAAACCCTATTTGTATTCTCCCTCTCTAATAGTAGATCTCCCCCCTCTTTGCCCCGTGGACGTAGGCAATTTGCCGAACCACGTAAAATTGGTTGTCTCGTTATTGGTGTGAATTTGTAATAGCTTGTTTAGGATCGCTCGACAGGTCAGTCCTAGAACTGATGAGAGGAAGAGCTGATATCTCACTTTGTTGAGATATTTTACTTTCGGTTCTTGCTTCTTTTTTGAAACAAGATTTCCGTTGTGATCTAATCTCTTGTTGTGCACCTTGCGCACCGGAGGTGCTTCCAAAATTTCCGCTGCGCACAACATTATCTTTGTCATCAATCCCCACAATTCAACAGTGACGTACCATGCCGATACTCATTCCAAATAAAGAACACAAGAACTTCAAAATTTTTGATATATACTAGTTTTCATGCCCGTGCAAAGCACAGGTTGTTTTATAACTTCACTTTCTTAAACATGTAAGCAGATTCATTAATAAAACTAATCATTAATCACTTAGTATTACTAATTGTTAATATTACTAATAAAACTAATCATTAATCACTTAATATTATTAATCATTAATCACCTAATAATAATATTAATCACTTAATATCACTCAATATTACTAATTATTATATTTTGTATGCTCATGGAAAATGGAAAGTTTTCTTTCACTGAAAAAAAAGATAAAAGATCTTTGTAGGATAATTAGTCTATGTGCAATACTAACATCTATGGAGATAGAAATACATGTGCAAGTAGGGAATCTTTAAACTAATTTGCCCAAGGAGATTATGCATAATCCTAAGCTTAAATTGCCTCAATTAGTTTTTTTTTTAGTTAAACTTTGAACTATCAACACTTGTTTCTTGTAGAATAACAGAAATTAAATTATCTTTAGAACTTTTACTAACATCCATCTAGCCTATAATGTCAGAATCACCTTAATTTGTTAACAAACAATCCAGCAAAAACTTGGTCACGGTCTCTTCCTCAAGGCATGCTGGAAACCCCCTTCAAATAAAAAAAATCAAAGATGAAAACATGAAATAAAGTGACTATTTTTTTGGAATCGTCATCATATTATTACTACTTAAAATGAAGAGAAGTAATGAATCTTAAATTCTTTAAAGATTTGAAACAAAAAAGATATTAGTATTGCACATAAGTTGACACCGAAGTTCCAAATACCCATAAAGGTGATGAATGATTTGAAACAAAAAAAAAATTAGGAAACTTGTTTGAAATTTGTACACCGAAGATCCAAATTCTTGCAAATGAAAGTACCAACAAAAACTACACCCTTTTTAATTTGTCATCGAGATATGGACATACAATTGCAAATCAAATAGGAAAAATTGTTAGCTGACCTGAATTGCAAAGAGGAAAAACTGCAGAAAGATCATGATTCAGATCTCCAATTATCCAAAACAATGAAGGATTATAAACACAAATGTTCACTCATAACCGGTGCAAAGTGACTATACTTTGCATGTGTCAAAAATAAATTTACCTCAAAAGACCGGCGTGTCCAATGTTCTGTACGTCAAATTTATCCTATCTTAAGAAGGAATCTAAAAGAAAGATAGAAAATACGTGTCCAATGTTCTGTACGTCAAATTTATCCTATCTTAAGAAGGAATCTAAAAGAAAGATAGAAAATAATGGATCCCCATAAGGAATTCACTCAACTGCGGCACATAAGCCCAAAAGCAGAACAAAATGCATACACAAAGTAATAAATCAATTAAATTCATCAACTATAAAGTTGTCAACCACTCAAATTTAACATCTGATAAAGATAAAGAACGTCTCATAAATATTGGATTTGGGTCTCTAATAGATTTGCAATTTTGTTGAAATTTGTGAAACAAATGCTAACTCATGTATCTGCATAGAAGCAACATTCATGAAAAAATAATCATGTTTGCTTCGTTTTCGACTAAGGTTTCTGGAACACTTTCTGTTTTCTGTAACAAAAATATGGTTTCATTTAATAGATTGTAGACAATCAGCAAAAGCTAAACTTAAAGTATCAAACCAAATCAAACTAACATTGTGGATTATCTCTGGAATACAATCTTGCCATTGCTCACTGCACGAACCGAGCAATCCTTCGGCCGTTTCTTCGAACATTACTTTGCGATCGAGGTAGATGAAGACCTACCATCAAATTCAATCTCATCACAAAATGAATGATTTATATCTCAAAAAATTTGCAAAAAGAAGGCCCTTTACTCACCTAATGCCCCGGCAATTCTTTTTGATCCCTAAAATGAGATTATTAGCTTCATAACTCATCGTCTCTCGAACCAAAATCTTTTTAGTCGAAGAGCCCCGACACAATTTCAGCTTCAAATCAATCTAAAATCAACAGAAAATCATAAATCAAAAAATTACAAAGCATACAATTTGAAGTAAGTTGTAGTAAAAATGAGCAGTTCTAACCATGTAAAAAGCTTCATCCAAGCTCCCGCCAGACAAAAAATCATAAATTAATAACTTAGATGACTGTGAATTGCAATACCCACGTAGATTTACCAAATAACGATATTTGTTTAATACTGCCCAAGATCTCAAGTTCCCTATCAAAAAAGCGGTCAAGACCTTCATTTGTCTTTACTATTCTTTTCAGAGCAAAAATATTGTCATCATCCATATCTAGCTTGGATGCAGTTCCAAAGCCACCAGAACCAATAATATGTTTATCATTCAAAGTCTCGAGCTTCTTGAGGATGTCTTTTGATGAGTAAGGCAAGTCCCCATGAAACATAACAATAGATGCACCTGAAAAAATAAGATATATCACCAAATTGCTCCCCGAAAAACATCAAAATTCAGACTTTAATCATAAAAGAAAAACCAAACCTACTTCAGATCACAGAACCCATTATAAAAAGCGAGAACAGAATCAAAAGCCTTAACCAGCGAAAGAAGCGAAGAACACCTCCCATCAACATCACAACCATCTGCAATACAAAAAAATTCAAACCCTTCATCATAATCAGGATCGCGGCATGATCCTCTGCAGTAATCAACCGATTCGTCGCCAAACTGAGTAAAATCGAATTGCTAACAATCAACAAATGAAACCCTAAATCAAAATAAATCAATCAAAGAATGTTATATTCATGCCATTTTCTTGGGACGTAGAGATCGACGACGGTTCTGTCTTCGTTCTGCATCTTTTCTCTGGATTCAGAAGAAAATCGAATTGTTAGGGAAAAAAGATTAAAATTTTAGGTCGAAAATAGAAGGAAAAAGGGATTGGGTGGTCTTTGAAGGAGGCAGCGGGGGATTGGGCGGAGGAGGGGGAGGAGGAGATGAGGAAGGAGACCTCGTGTGTTCAGGGAGAGGGCAGAGAGGGGAGGAAGGGGGGAAGTGGCGAGGAAGAACCGAAGAATCGTGGGTGGGAAGTTTTTGTGCAAAAAAGTGATGGCGGAACAGGAGAACGTGGGTGAGTAGTTAAAAGGAATGTGTTTTTTTCATTTATAGTTTTTTTATAAAGATGAATTTTAAAAATAAATTTGTTATGAATAATTTGATTGGTCCAGATCAGAGTTGCTGTTCATAGGAGCTTTTTGAGTGTTCTCTTTTAGTTAATAAGAAGTAGATAGCAATCATAGCATGCATCCTACGATCGTCAATCATAGACATGATTATTCGTATTTCCCCTGCTTCTTTCCTCTTTCTCCTCTCTCTACACATCCTATCAAAATCAAACCAAAAACTCAAACTCCCACCGGGCCCACTCAACTTCCCGATCATCGGAAACCTCCAGCAGTTCTGCCACACTCCTCCGCATAAATTCCTACGCAAACTCTCCCAAAAACACGGCCCTTTAATCTAATCTACCTCAAGCTCAGCACAATCCCAAAAACACGGCCCTTTAATCTCTACTCATCCTAGTGATTTCGCGACGTTGTTTTCGCTCCCTACAGAGACCAGTCGAGAAATCTCGTTAAATTTTGGTGGCTTCGTTTTGATCAGTAAGAGAAGAAAGAGAAGAAGAAGTCGAGAGAATGATTAGTTCGATATGGACTGTGGAAGTTAAAATTTGAGCGAGGAGCTTTTCTCTCTTGCGAGTAATATTCTATGTAGAACTGCGTTAGAGAAGATATATTAATAGCAAACAGGGGGAAGAAATGGTATAGATGGCCCTGTACCTTGATTAAAAAAAATCATATAGAAAGGTTAAAAGGATAGAAACATTAAGGCACAATGCCTTAACATTTATTTTACCATTTTGTAGAATACATTTGCTGCTGGACGACGGCAGAGCTTATGAGAAATCCTGAAAAAAAACTCGAAAATGAAGTGACGAGTCTCACCGGAAGCAAAGGGAAAGTAGAGAAGAGCGATCTCGATCAGCTTCGCTACATTAAATCAATAGTGAAGAAGTCAATGAGACTATATCCACCGGTATCAATGCTCCTTCCAAGAGAAATTATGCAGCATTTTACAGTCAACGGTGAGAAATTATGCAGCATTTTACAGTCAACGGCTATGACATCCCACCTAAAACATCGATGCATGGGCGATAGGAAGAGAAGAAAATGTTTGGGAAAGGCCTGAAGAGTTCAACCCAGAAAGATTCAAGGGTAGCCTGATTGATCTTAGAGGCCATACTTTGAGCTTACACCATTTGGTGCAGGACAGAGAATTTGCCCCGGACTAAACTTTGCGCTGTTTATTACAAATTCTTACTGCAAATCTATTATTGATGAAGTGATGCTCAAGGAAGTACGGATAAAGGCAACAAGCAAGCATCATGGAAACATGAAGTAACTTACTCGACAAAAACTATGAAATTATTGCAATGTAAATCAAGATGTGAGTATCATTTAGGACCCTTTCAAATATCATCAATGCATCTCAAACTATCACTCATAATCTATAACTTTCCTGTAGCACATAATATCTGTGATAGATACCAAACATCAATGAACAATTGATGATTGTCTTTTCCTCAAGAAATGTTATCATTTTATCCAAGATACTACAACAAAATCAGCTATATCAAAACCCTCTAGTCCTCGGAAAATTACTTGATATCCAACAAAGATAATAGAAAAATTCTGCCTCACCAAGTACATTATCAGCAAGATTACAAACTTTCAGGACCAATAACACTGACAAATCAAGAAGAAAATTGAACTGCAAATACTTTAGATTTCTCGTCTCTAGCTAATGGTTCTAAGTTTAGTCAGCATCAGAATAAAGAAGATGCCAGCTCTTTTACATCTGATACCACTTGGTCATATTCGGACTGAAGCTTCTGCTGCACCTCGGATTCTAACTCTCCCTTTGCTGGTTTTGTCGTCACAAGAACGCAGCATGTTGGCCTCTTGGTGACCCCCGCAGTTGCCAGTTCCTGCAAAAGAAGAAGAAACCTGTGAACGAACAGAGCAGAATTTAAATATCTACTGATTCCTTATTCTGATTATTTATAAGTAGAATAAATCTTGGGGCACCAAAGTTTACTACAGTTTATTGAGGGAGTAGTTATACTAGGAGCTATATCAAAGTAATTGCAGGCACATATCTTCTTTCATCCTTTGATGGTGTTTTCAATATTTATGAGAACTTGTCTTTTTCAGGTGGAAGGAAAGATCTTAGATTGACTAATCCCTAGATTCCACTAAGCAAAATGGTCAGCGTAAACGCACTTTGTGAAGTAAATGAAGAGGTTGACGAGAAAGGAAAGGACTATATTGAGACAGGGTCCTGCCATCGATGAACCAAGAGCCTCTCAGATTTAGCCAAAAGTAGAAGATAATGAAAAAGCTCATGCCGAGCCACCCTGTTATGCAACAATCCACTTTTCTGTTCTTAATAATTAGTCTTGCAGAATCTCATTCATATCTTTGGTTTAATTAAGAAAATGTAGCAATCGTTATTTTAAACATTATTAACCCTTTCTGTATCCGCCAATTTCCTCCTCTTACATCTCACTCTGTTGATTCTTCTGGCACAAAAACATTTCATCTGGTGTTAGGTCCAAGACTTTAAAGTATATATCTGACTTACATAGCAGTTAAGACTTTTCAAACTGTAGCCTGTGAAGAATATTTAATATTCTTCCAGATAAGTAAACTAATAGATAATAGAGAAAGCAGCCAAACCTCCTTAGAAGAGACGTAGAAGTATGGAATATCAGCTTCTTCACATAATATGGGGACATGTGTTATAACATCAATGGGAGAAATGTTTCCAGCAATAATGCACAACCTGTACACACCAACAAATTTCAGAAATATGTGCAATGAACCAATGTTGTCAATGCGCGAGGCACAAAGCATCTTTACGCGCACATGCACAATGCGCAACAAATTGTGCGCGCACGAGTAATGCCAGCCGCACACTGCACATATAATTTTTCAAGATATATAATCAAGCACGAAAGAACATGTTTAGGAATTCATATAAAAAATATGTCAGGATAAATAATATCTTTCTACAAAATCACAATATAAGGTGTTAATTTCTAATGCTAACACCCAACATAGTAGCAAAATTCATAAAATTTCAGATTAAATGTCAAATCAAGACTAAAATCCAAGCAAAGGATTAGTTATGATCCTCAATTGAAGGCCACTAAAAAGGCCTAATCGATTTATTTTGCTTTTTGGGATATGGATTATCGAGTATAAAGACTCGATTGAAATGTTAACAGACAGAACTATATGAGGTTATGTATTACATGCATCCTACACAAAGTCAGGATGTATGCGAGGCACAAAAGGCGTTGTTACATCAGATGCGGGGCGTTCGCCACCGCACCACATTACAAGGTGCATGAGGCGCAGTGAGGCGTGTGCCTTTCAAAACACTACAATGAACAAAGAAATTCCATAACATCCTGCCAAAATGTAGCTGTTAGCTTATTTCTAAGAACATTTACTTATTAACATAACTTGTACTTGGGACCTATTATAAAGTTCAACAAATTAATAATATCAGCTTATCAACAACCACATGCAGATCTCAATTCTCATTATTGTGTCTCTTTGTTACTCATCTTAATAGATTAAATAGTTTCCACACTAGAAGCTAATGTGTTGAGGGAAAGCCACTACAAAGGTTAATAAATACATTTCAGCTAGAGGTGGTATGTCTAGACTCGAGTTTTTTAAAAAAAAATCATGACTGTGCGTGTTATAAAGAAAAATCAAAACATGAAGTTAAAAAAGGCGAAAATAGAGATCTTCAAAGAGGCACAACATTCATTAGAATAACATATCCATCCTAATTGTTATGAATAATTCAATTACATTCAGAAATGAATACAAATTAAGGTATAGAGTTTGAAATAATTTTAGCAATGAAATGACATAAATAGGAAAGAACTGAAGTAATGACCCTAAATAAGGTGATTATGTAATGTATGTAAAGTATCTCTCACAACTTGCATAATTATGTAAATAAGGTTGAAGAAATGAAAGTCCATTTCAGAACATACCCTCAAAAGGCGAAAATAAAATAAACATGTCAGCTTGATTGAGTGGGATGGCTGAGACTTACTTAATAACAAAAAATGCTAAAAACATATCAAGTATAAAATTGTGGTTGAACACCTTGAATGTCTTTCAATCAATACATCAGATGTATATTCTTCTTAGCATGATACTTTTGTATTACCAATTATCTTAGTAATATATGAACTAACAATACATCATCTTTCCATATTGGAAAGATCAAAGTTTCAATTTTCACATATTACACAGCAGATAACATAAACCCTCTCTAGTTAAATAATGATATAATTATTTGGAGTAGATAGCGAAAAAGAAAACCAACCCTTTGTGACCTCGGCGGATGCTCTTAACTACTTCCTTTACACCTCGTTTAAGGCATTTCGATTCAGCAGCTGAAAATTAGAAACGTTCGATCTGTTAATCCCCAAATACCCATATAACAAGAGTATAACAATTAACAAGACAAAGAAAGATCTATAGAAATAAAAAGAATTGAAAAAAGACCTGATGGTAAAAAAAAATGCTGCACTAGCCAAACAACAAATAATATTGCACATGTATCTATCCATACAAGCCTTAGGTATTTAAGGACAAACATTGGTAACATCAGATCAGAAGTGCAGAATAAAAACAACCGGTTCTTAGACTTCATAGGATGAAATGAAAATTTCAGCAAATAACTAAAACGCCGATAAGTAGAAAATCCTAGATGATAAATTTATGCACACTACTCTCTCTTTGCAATAAGGCAATCGAAGACTTGTGGCTCTACGAACTAAATGTAATCTAAAGAAACTCTTTTTCATGATCAAAATCTCACCTTTATAGCAAACAATGCCATGATATGGAGAAGCCAATAAAGCCGTACCACAGAAAACCAAATAATCTCACAAAAGTCAGTCCCTAAATCAATAAGACGGCAAATAATATACCTTTCCTCACGAGCTTGAGGCTTTTCTTAGAAAGCTTTTTCCCAGCGAGGGGCTTAGCAATGGGGGCTAGAGCCATCATCTTCTTCTTCTCCTTCATTGACTTCTCCGTCTCGCTATCGCTCGCCATTTCTTGTTTCTCTCTCTCTCTCTCCTCTCTCTCTCTCTCTCGCTCTCGCGCAAGGATTTTGGGAAATTTTTTAGGGCGTGGGTTTTCTATTGAGCTAGGGTTTTAGAGGAGCGTAGAGACATGGGCCGGGTCCAGAGACACCGGATCTGTGTTTCTTTACTACAAGAGGCCCAATCCTAGTGTTGTAATAAGGCCCATGGACTACCAGGCTACCTCCCAATGAACCAAAGTGCAATAGAGCTTAAGCAGGGGTAAATTTCGGGAAATCTCTTTGAACTTTTGGTTGATTCGCACAAAATGACCACGGAGTCTAAAAATTAAGGTTAGTTATACATAAGTGATATTGTCGACTATATTAGAGGAAATTTTAATGTTGAATTCATTGAGAAAGATGCATTTTCATTATATTTTCTCAGACAAAATCTAGAAAACTATGGGTATAGCAATGTGCTCTTCTTATATTATTCTTTATCAGGTCTAGGGGGTTTGAGAAAATTAAAGACACATGATAAACTATTTGAAATGCTTGAGCAAGCCAATAAATATATAGTGGTAGAGATATTTACTGATCACAGTGTTGATATACCTGTTGAGGTGGACGTACCATTGGAGAGTGTTGGTGAACCATCATCATCTATCCCTAATCAATCAGAATCTGCCAAAAATCCTAAACCAACTCAAACCACTCCCAAAAGGACTAAGAAACTTGGGTCAAGGAAAAAGATTACACCTAGAAGAAAAAATAACCCTATTGTATCCCAAAAAGAAATGCAATATCCTAGTCCACCACATGAAAATCGAGATCCTATTCCACCATATTAAGAAGTTGATGAACTTGATGTGAGTGCTCAAGCCAATGCATATCCAAATCAAGATGGAGAAACAAATATGAATGCAAATGCTAGATATGCTAGTAAGAAGTCAGTTGATTCTTTTGATAGTCAAGCTCAAGAGGCTTTACATAGTGACAATGATGAGTTATTTGAAGTAAGGAAAATAAATAAGAAGCTTTTTGCTGATGTAAAGGGTAGAATTGTTGTTGAAGCTGGGGTGTTTTTATCAAACAAAGGTGAAGGTCCTCATAGGAGGGTGAAAATGCACACTCCAACTGACACAAATGATGCACCAAATGCCACAAATAATGCACCAAATAAGACATAAACTGATCCACCACTTATTGGGTCAAGCCCGCAGCTTCTGAGGTGACATACGCTGGGTTGATCCGGGCCAACTTTGAATTCAGTTCGAGCCAAAGCTCGGGTATCCGCACTAGGAACACAACCCAACCTGTCCCACTGACCGGTCCCATTTGAGTCGAGCCGACTTGATAAATCTAACCCACTACTTTTCCTCTTCTTTTAATTTATTTTTCCTTATTTTATTTTTTTTACAATTTTTAAAACTTGATTTCGATGAATTTTGCCCAATCGGTAGTGATTTTGTTGCATTTTGCGGAACGTTTTGGACTAGACCTACTAATTTTCTGCTTGAAACACATACACATTTAACTTTGTTATTATTTTTTAGATTACTAAATAGTTACTAGTAGTTAGATATATAGTTACTACTTTACTAAAATCTAATATCATTGTGGAGATTGGGTGCGAGCTAGCTTCTAGTCACAGTCAGGGTACGGGTTTGATCCAAGCTAGGTTAGATTTGTGAGCCGGGTTCAAGGTCAAGCTTGGATTTTAGAAATACATCTGTACCCAACACACTTTGAGAA